TGCTCCCCTCTCCTCGCCTTTGTCGACCACCTCCCCCTGGCGACGGCCATGGCGCGGCGGATCGAAGGCTGGGACCTCGGCGATGCGAGCCGCTGCGGGGGAGGATACGGAGAGGAGGCGCACGCCGCGAGCCGCACTCTGGGAGGCTTGACGTCTCCCGCGGAGTCGTCGTGGTGCACATCCGCTTGCTGGTGGGCATGGGCTCTGTGAGATGACGTGCTCCTCGACTGGGCGGTGCTCCTCGACTGGGCGGTGGAGATCGTGGGCGAACTCGTGGAGGCGGTCGTTGCCATCGCGCACGTCGTTGGAGCTTCTCGTAAGAAGCATGTGCAATGCGCGCGCGCTCACCCGCACGTGTCCTGTCTCGCGAATCCTCCCTCCTCCCACCCTCCTCCATCTTCACTCCACCCTCCTCATCCTCCTACTCGTCCTGCTCCTCCTCCCCACCACCACCAACAGCACCACCATCATCATTATCATCATCATCATCATCATCATCATCATCATCATCAGCAGCAGCACCATCATCATCATCATCATCATCATCATCATCATCATCATCATCATCATCATCATCATCATCATCATCCTCATCATCATCATCATCCTCATCATCATCAGCATCATCATCATCATCAGCATCATCATCATCAGCATCATCATCATCGTCCTCGTCAGCAGAATAATCATCATCATCAGCAGCATCATCAGCATCAGCATCATCATCAGCACCATCATCATCAGCATCATCCTCAGCATCATCATCATCACCACCACCATCATCATCAGCAGCAGCATCATCATGACCAGAATCAGCAGCATCATCATCACCATCATCATCATCACCAGAAGCAACAGCATAATCATCATCGTCATCATCATCGTCGTCAGCATCAACAGTATCAGAGTCATCATCAGCATCAGCATCATCAGTGTCATCATCATCGTCAGCGTCATCCTCATCCTCATCAAAGGCATCATCATCATCATCATCGTCATCGTCATCGTCATCGAAATCGTCATCAGCATCGCAAGCATCGTCATGAACAGCATCATCATCACCAGTATCATCACCAGCAGCATCGTCATCGTCATTATCATCATCATGGTCATCAGCAGCAGCATCATCATCACCATCGTCATCATCATCCTCATGCTCATCTTCATCATCATCATCAGCAGCATCATCAACAGCATCATCACCAGTATCATCATCATCATCATCATCATCATCATCATCATCGTCATTATCATCACCATCATCATCATCATCACAGTAACTATGATCACCCGAATTTGTCATCATGAGCACCCTTCATCAGCAGCAGCATCCTCATCAGCATCGTCATCATCACCATCCTCATCCTCATCCCCATCCTCATCATCATCATCATCATCAGCATCGTCAGTGTCAACAGTGTCGACAGCATGGTCATCATAACCATCCTCACCATAATCATGATCTCTCATCATCATCAGCAGCAGCAGCAGCATCGTCATCAGCATCATCATCATTATACACAGAATCATCATCAGCATCTTCGTCATCATCATCAACAGCATCATCGTAACCACCATTACCATTAACAGTAGCAGCAACAGCATCAGCATCATCATCGTCCGCCTCCCTCTCATCATTCTTCACCGGATCCTGCTCATCCTCGCCATCATCATCACCACCACCACCCACATCAGCATCAGCATCGTCAGCAGCAGTAGCAGCGGCAGCAGCAGAAGCGTCATGCGTCGTCACAATCGTGATCAACAACCTCATCTTCAGAATCGGCACCATCATGATCAGCTGCATCATCCTCACCATCAGCAGCAGCAGCATCAGCAGCAGCAGCATCAGCATTATCGTCGGCATCGCCTGCAGCATCATCATCAGAGTCAGCATCATAAGCATAATCATCAGAGTCATCATCATCACAATTTCCACCATCATAATGATCATCCTCATCATTATCATCATCAGCAGCATCATCGTCATCATCATCATCATCGGCATCGTCATCAGCATCGACAGCATCATCATCATCAGCATCAGCATCATCATCATCATTGGCATCATCATCCTCATGATCATGATCATGATCAGCAACATCATCAGAATCACCCGCATCAGAATCATCATGGCCGTCGTCAGCATTCGCAGCATCATCCTCATCATCATCAGCATCATCATCACCTTCGTCATCGTCAGTATTACCATCGTCACCATCGTCACCAGCATCACCATCATCATCATCAGCAGCAGCATTATCATCGTAAGCAGCACAATCATAGACAGCTGCATCATCATCATCATCATCATCATCATCATCATCATCATCATTAACAAAATCATCAGCGTGAGAATCAGCGTCAGCATCATCCTCGTCATACACATCATCATAATCATCTTCACCAGAATCAGCATCGTCATCATCATCAGCAGCACCAACATCAGCACCCGTACCCGCGTCATAAGCATCACCAGCATCCGCATCATCATTATCACCGTGATCAGCATTATCAGCATCATCAGCATCATCATCGGCATCATCGTCATCATCACCATCATCAGCATCAGCATCATCTGCAGCATCATCATCAGCACCATCATCAGAGTGATCAGCAGCAGTATCAGCAGCATCGTCATCATCATCATCACCAACAGCAGCAACAGCATTATCAGTATCATCATCAGCATCGTCGTCACAATCGCCATCATCAGCATCATCAACATCACTATTCTCCGCTTCCTCCTCCTCCTCATCATCCTCGTCAGTAGTGCCATCGTCACGGTCAGTGTCATCATCATGGTGGGCACAGCATCATCATGACCAGCAGCATCGTCATCATCATCAGCAGCATCAGTATCATCATCATCGTCATCAGCGACAGCATCATCGTCATCAGCATGATCATCATCAGCACCATCCTCACTGTCATCAGCATGCTCGCATGCATCAGCAATAGTAGTATCATCATTATCATCATTACCATAATCAGCATCATTAGCATCATCATTATCAGCATCGTCATCATCGTCATCATCGTCATCCTAGGCATCAACATAATCTGCAGCAGCAGCATCATCAGAAGCATCAGCATCATCGTCATCATCGCAATCAGCATCAACATCATCAAGAGAGTCATCATCCTCATCAGCAGCAGCATCATCATCATCATCATCATCATCATCATCATCATCATCATCATCATCATCATCATCTGCATCATCATCATCATAATCATCATCAGATTCATCATCATCATCATCCTCATCGTCCGCATCATCAGCAGCAGCAGCATCTGACGTAACATAATTATCATCAACGTCCTCACCTTCATCATCAGAATCATCATCGCCGTCAGCATCTTATCACCACCAGCAATATCACCAGCATTACCATTATCATCATCATCGTCATCATCATTGCATCATCATTAGCATCGTCATCATCATCATCATCATCATCATCATCATCATTATCATCATCATCAGCATCACCATCATCTTTGATGTCATCCTGGTGATCATCAGCCGCAGAATCAGCAACAGCAACAGAAGCAGATGATTCATCGTAGTCGTCAGAAGCGGCAGCATCATCGTTGGTGTGAGCGGAATCATCGCCAGCATCAGCATCATCATCGAAGTCACCGTCGTACTCCTCCTCCTCCTCATCATTACCATCATCATCATCATCATCATCATCAGCATCATCATCATTAGCATCATTATCAACATCCTCCTCATCATCATAATCACAATCACCATCACCACCGTCGTTGCCATCGACTTCGTCATCATCGTCGTCGTCATAACCACCACTACTATCTTCATCGTCGTCATGATCGTTATCAACATCATCGTGATCGGCGTTGGTCATCATCGTCATGCCATAACCATCAGCAACAGCAACATCATCATCATCAACAACATCATCATGCTCATCATCAGTATCATCAGTATCATCAGCAGCAGCATCATCATCCTCGTCGCCATATCAGCATTAGAATAATCATCGTCATCACTGCTTCCATCTGTCCATTATCATCATCCTCATTCCCATCATCCTCATCATTATCCCTCGTGATATACCCTCCTCATGCAACTCCCTCCTCGTCCTCCCTCCCTCCTACTCCTTCCCCCTCCCCCTCCCACTCTTTTCTGATCCTCCTTCCCATCCGTCCTTCTCTTCACGTACAGATATGTTCTTCTCCTCTCTCCCTCATACTGCCTCATCCGCCTCCTCCTCATCCTTCTCCTCCCTCCTCTCTGTCCTTCTTCTCATGATTACCCACCTCTCACCCCTCGTCCTCATTCTTGAGAACGCATCTTCCCTCCTCATCATCCCTCCCTCCCTCTCTTCCCCCGCGCGCACGGAAGCGCGCAACGACGATTGACGACGACAAGAACGACGACGCCGACGACGACGATAGACGACAATCGACGACGATGACGACGACGACGACGATCGACGACGACGACGACGAAGGCGACAGTCGACGAGGACGGCAAGGACGACCGACGACGACGACGACGACGATCGACGACGATCGACGACGACGACGAAGATCGGGAGCGGCCAAGAGGGGGGTGTCCAAGAATGGGGGTGCAAATCATGACCGGCGGCATGTGCGCGGCCCAGCGGGGGGGCCAGGGACGTAATGAAATAAGAAGAGGCGCCATGAAATCTGGGGAAATATCATGGCCCACGCCATGATATCCACCACCCCCTAGTCATCACCCCCCTCTTTTCGGGGATGGACAGACCCCCCTTTAGTAAAACGTGGTTTAGTGAAAACGACCTGAGGCCCAAACCTGGCGGGCGCAAGCCTGGAAAATAACGGCCACGGCGCCCTCTCGAAAACCGAAAACGGACAATTCACTAATCGACGTGTCACTGTTGGGGGTTCTGTCCACCCCCGACTCTTTTCCGCCCCCGAGAAGCTCGAAGACGACTGCCGGCGGCACGCTCCGGTCCGAGCACCGCGCGGGGTGCGGCCCGCGCCTGAGCAGCGGCGGAGGGGGTCCTCGCCGTCGTCTTCGCGGTCGTCACTCGCTCGTCCTCGCCGTGCGCTCCGGCGCGCGGGGGGGGATCAAGAGGAGGAGGAGGAGGAGGAAAAGGAGGGGAGGAGGACGAGGAGGAGGAGGAGGAGGGGAGGAGAAGGAGGGGAGGAGGACGAGGAGGAGGAGGAGGAGGAGGAGGAGGGGAGGAGGAGGAGGAGGAGGAGGGGAGGAGGAGGGTAAGGAGGAGGGGGGAGGAAGAGGGATTCGGGAGAGGAGGGACGAGGGGAAGCAGGAGTTCGCATACCCAAGAATGACGAATCAAACAGCAACCTTGCTGGCTGCTCGACTGGCAGGCTGGGAGAGCTGATTGCCGTGCCTCAAGTGGAATGCGATATGCGCCATGCCATGTGGGGTGGCTCTCGAGCTCACCACGCAGCTTGCAAAATACATGAAAAATCGAGACCATACGATCGTGAGCTCCGAAATCTTGGCTTCTTGATAAAATGATACGGAGCACAATCCAGTTCTCACAAGCGAACAGGCGGGCAAGTAAAAGCTAGGGAGAGAAAGGAGGTAATGGAGGCAATGACGGAGTTGGCAATGCGCAAAAGAATGTGGGCGACTATCGCCTCCGACTCCCTCGTTCGAATAATGGTCACCACCACTAGCATCGTCAACATCAGCAGCAGCAGCATCACCAGTAACAACAACAACAACAACAACAATCACTTTACCCGAACGCTCAGTGTTCTCACCAGTGCCAGGGTTTTCATGCGACGCCAGCCAATACCCCCACTTTGTGGGGGGGCAATGCAAGCTCTACCAAATATCCACACGACTCTTCGCCACCACCCACACCCAGCTTCCCGCCCTATGACGTTCGGACACTTCACTTCGTGGCCTGCGGACGACCGTGGCTACTACACTGGCGTGGAGTACACACCCACAGAAGTTGTTAAGCCTACGTTCGTACACCCACAGAAATTGTTAAGCCTTGTTAACCCACAGAAGTTGTTAACCCACGGTGCGATTCGTGTGATTTTATGATGCGCGGTGCTAAAATTCTTAAGAAGCCCAATGGTTTTTGGAGATTTCGGCGTGCGCGCGCGAAGAAAAAACGAATGTGTCCCGCATGGTATTATTTGACAGGGATGATGGCCCTGGCAGGTGCGCAACCGTTGTCGCAGAAGTTCGAAAAAGTTGCTCGCAAAAGCCCGTTTGACAGAAATGTTTAAAAAGTGTTGGGTTTCCTACGAATCCGCAAGAGCGCGCGGGATGAGATTTTGAGTTTTGATTTTGTTTTTAAGGATTTCGTCTTGCGCGCGCGCGAATGTCCACTTTACCTTATTTTTTGCAAGGGATTCTTGAAATTTGATTATATTAGAACAAGAAATGTCATTTTATAGTGTTTTTTGCAAGGGAAAACGGATTACAACAAAACAACCGGATCTTGATCACATCGTTTTACCTGAGGCTTCCTCACGAAAATGATGAAAATGTAGCTGCGGCCTAGGCGCGGCGGGGGGGGCGCGCACCAGGGGGCCCAACAATAATTATTCTTTAGAATTAATAATGTTCAACAACAACAACAACAACAACAACAACAACAACAATACTAATAATTTTAAGACTGTTCGCCCTTATATGCTCGAGTGTCCAATAACGCGTATTTCCCAAACCCTCGATACCCGCCCTCTTCGTCTTCGATCGAACCCCTTTTGGGGGGTATACCTTTCTTCCCTGCAGGCCGGGCCCCGGCAAGCGGCGGGGCGGCCGCGGACCGTCGGCCTGGCCAGCGGCAGCGCTGATCGGCGGGGCGGCCGCGGACCGTCGACCCGACCCCAAGAGGGACGGAAACCACGACGACGACGACGACGACGACGACGTCGAAGACGACGGCGACGACGACGACGACGGCGACGACGAGCGAAAGCGAGAGCGAGAGAGAACGACAACAGGGCCACGAAGGGCACGAAGTAGGCCACGAAGGGCGTCAGCGGGGACACGAAGGGAATGCGTATGGGGCCACGAAGAGCGCGAACGAGCGGGGGCCACGAAGTGCATGCACATGGGGCCACAACGGGCGCGACTCCTGGGTGCCTGGACGTCGGGAGCGCGGCGCTTGGGCCAATTGCAAGAAATTCCAACGCAAGGCAATTCTTCAGTAAGTTGCAAGCAAGTCTCCAGCGAGAGCGCGACTCCAGAGCGCCGGCAGAGCGATTCTTCAATAAATTGTAAGGAAGTCCCAAACGAGAGCGCGATTCCTGAACAAAATGCGAGGAAGTCTCGGGCGGGAGCGGGGGTCTTGGTTAAATTGTGAAGAGATCTCAAGCGGGAGCCGTTGTTGTTGTAACCCGGGGGCCAGGGGCCAGTTTGAGCATCAAGACTTTCCCTGTCAAAAAACCGGGTGCGAGCGTCGAGGGGCACACTTTGATTGAGAAAAAACAGTATGCACCAGTGGGGGGGATCAACAATAATTATTCAGAAATGAGAATTCAACAACAACAACAACAACAACACCACCACCACCACCAACAACAACAACAACAACATCAACCACAACCACAACCACAACCACAACCACAAAAACAACCACAACCACAACCACAACGACAACGACAACGACAACAACAACGACAACATCAACAACAATCATAATACTCATGTTAAGCCTGTTCGCTCCTATCTGCTCGCGGGCTATTCAGCACGTATATCCCAGACCCTGGATACCCGCCCTCTTCGTCTTCGATCGTACCCTCTTGGGGGTGTATATATATATAGTACCTGCAACTTGTATTTCGTGCAGCCCCTAAGGCAAGAGAAGAGAGGACGGATGGAAGGAAGGGACAAGGGGGAGGGAGGAGGATGAAGCACGGGAGAAGAATGCGCGTGGCAGAACAAGACGGGCACATCGGGCGGGTAGACCCTGACGGGCGGATCGGGAAGGCTGGCCCAAGCGGCCAGGTCGAGCAGGCGGGTTGCTGAAGCGTGATTACTGCATGAATCGCGAGGAAGTCTGGAGCGATAGCACGATTGCTAAATAAATCGTGAGGAAATCCGGAGCGAGAAAATGATTCCTGAGTGCCGAGGGCGCGGCGTCTGAATAAATTGCGAAGAAGTCCCACGCGAGAGCTCGAATCCCGTAGAAATTCTGAAGAGGTCCCGCGCGAGAGCGCGATTTGAAAAACATTTGAGGGAATATCAGGCGGGAACCACTATTGTTATAAACCCGGGGCCAACGACCCAATTATGAGACCCAAGACCTTCCCTGATAAAAAACAGGGTGCGAGCCCTCGGAAGGGCACTTCGATTGAAAAAAGACATGTGCCCTGGAGGAGGGAGCACTGATAAGTACTCTGTATAAATGCGAATTCAGCTACAACCGCAACAGCAACATCAACAAACAACAACATCAACAACAACAACCACGACGACGGCGACGACGGCCACACCAACAACAACAACAAGAAAAAACAACAACGACGACGACACCAAGAATACCAAAAACAACGACGACGACGATGACGACGACGACGACAACAACAAACAACAACAACAAAAACAACAACAACAACAACAACAGCAGCAGCAACTACAACAACAACAACAACAGCAGCAGCAGCAGCATTAGCAGCAGCAACAACAACACCACCACCACCACCACCAACAACAACAACAACAGCAACAAGAGCAACAACAACAACAACAACAACAATCATTTAAGACTGGGGACACTCCGTTCTCACCAGTGCCAGGGTTTTCATAGGAGGCGGGCAATACCCCCACTTTGTGGGGGGGCCGGTTCAAGCTCTACCAAATTTCCAAACGACTCTTCGCCACCACCCACACCCAGCTTCCCGCCCTATGACGTTCGGACACTTCACTTCGTGGCATGCGGACGACCGTGGCTACTATTCAGGGCCCCGCGGCCGACGACGACGGCGTGCGCGCGCGAAGAAAAAACGAATGTGTCCCGCATGGTATTATTTGACAGGGATGATGGCCCTGGCAGGTGCGCAACCGTTGTCGCAGAAGTTCGAAAAAGTTGCTCGCAAAAGCCCGTTTGACAGAAATGTTTAAAAAGTGTTGGGTTTCCTACGAATCCGCAAGAGCGCGCGGGATGAGATTTTGACATTTTTTTGTTGAAAAACCATTGGTTTTTTGATGTTTTTATGTTAAAATCGCTCCGAACACTAAGCTTTTGGAAGGATTTCGTCTTGCGCGCGCGAATGTCCACTTTACCTTATTTTTTGCAAGGGATTCTTGAAATTTGATTATATTAGAACAAGAAATGTCATTTTATAGTGTTTTTTGCAAGGGAAAGCGGGGGGGAACAAAACAACCGGATCTTGATCACATCGAATTACCTGAGGCTTCCTCACGAAAGTGATGAAAATGTAGCTGCGGCCTAGGCGGCGCAGGGGGGCCGTGCACCAGGGGCCCCAACAATAATTATTCTTTAGAATTAATAATGTTCAACAACAAAAACAACAACAACAACAACATCAACAACAACAACATCAACAACAACAACAACAAGTTTAAGAATGTTCGCCCTTATATGTACGAATGTCCAATAACGCGTATTTCCCAAACCCTCGATACCCGCCCTCTTCGTCTTCGATCGAGCCCCTTTTGGGGGGTATACCTTCCTTCCCTGCAGGCCGGGCCCCGGCACGTCGAAGACGACGGCGACGACGACGACGACGGCGACGACGAGCGAAAGCGAGAGCGAGAGAGAACGACAGCAGGGCCACGAAGGGCACGAAGTAGGCCACGAAGGGCGACAGCGGGGACACGAAGGGAATGCGTATGGAGCCACGAAGAGCGCGAACGAGCGGGGGCCACGAAGTGCAGATAATGCGGGGCCACAAAAGGCAACTATGGGGCCACTGAGGGCAGCAACTGGGCCACGTAGGACAGTGAGGGGGACACAAATGGCGACAGCGGGGCCACGAAGGGCATGCACATGGGGGCACAACGGGCGCGACTCCTGGGTCCCTGGGTGTCGGACGCGCGGCGCTTGGGCCAATTGCACGAAATCCCAACGCAAGGCCA